ACATCGTTCACATTTAAAAATAATTCGATAATAAGCTAAAAAAATTTCATCGGAATATATCCATGTGTGGTCTTGTTTTGAAATTTTAAATGCAACGAATTTAATGGTACAATCAGATCATAATTTGGATAAACAATTTAAGAGAAAAATTAGTTTAAAGTGGTTTTCCACGCATACGTGGCGCTGACATCATGCTGACATCAGCGCCCGATTTTCGGACGCCAAGATCGGGCGCCCGATTCTAAGTCTCAATATAAAACAGAGAAAAATATTGCATTACATAGAAGCGTTGCTCACGCGCACGTAGATACAACACTATACACGCATACCATGCTAAAAAAAGATGAAGATCAGCGATAATACCTGACTTCATAAACAAAAGAGAGAATCCATTATATGCCACTCCAAATTAACTGGTTCTCTTATATGCCACTTCAAATTGACTTCTCCTTTCTATGCCACCGGTTCAAGTTTGTCCTCCCTTTTATGCCATTACCATCGCTCCACCGCCAGTTGACTGTTAACTTCATAGTAAGAAGACACATTTGCCCTTGAGATTTAGTACACAATCAATGATAGGTATTTTAGTACTAATATAGCTACTGGATACAACATATGAAAATTGATTTTTTTTTCATCACATGCAATTTTAGCCATCACCATCACAAATAATTTTTCAATATAAGCACGAAACATGCAGTTTTCCAACAATATTTTTAATACAAAGAGCATTTTTCACTGGTTCTGACAAAATTTTGTTCACTCAAAAAGAATTTAAAATAAATTAGTTTTGATTTTTTTGAAATTTACCCATTTTTAGTTGAGAGGGCATATTGGTCATTTACAAAAAAAAAAAAGTAACATTTGACTAACAGTCAACTAACGCTATAGTGCTAGGAGTGGCATAAAAGGGTGGAAAAACTTGAACCAATGACATATAAGGGAGAAGCCAATTTTAAGTGGCATATAAGAGAACTGGCCAATTTCTGGTGGCATATAGGGATTCTCTCTAAACAAAATTATATGAACCAAGATTTAAACTCAGTTCACATCATCGGATCAAGTAGGCCTAGGCCTGCTTAAACAACAGGCTGGGCTAGACCCAGAAAACCCAACCAAAAAGCTGCGGCCTAACCGCCAAAGCCTCGCGCTAAGACAAAAGGAGAAGCCCAAGCCATCCAAACCTCGGCCTAGTGTTGGGCCAGCATTGGGCCAGGCCTGGGTCCGGTGGCCCATGAACAGGTCTACACAGGTTTGTCCGAGCAGGCCCACGGTTGGTGCTAGTTCGGCCCATCGAAACAGGCCCACGGTTTGGTCTGTTGGAAAAAGTACACCGAAGGTCCCTCAACTTGTCATCGAGTTATGAATTCGTCCCCAAACCGCAAAACCGGATATATATAACATCTCTCAACTTACAAAACCGTTCACTTTAGGTCATTTGGTGGTTTTGACCTCGGTTTTATCTGACGTGGCGGCTGAGTCAGTGTAGGACCAACGTAGGCCCCACATGTCAGGCTGCCACATCACACCCCCCTCTCTCTCTTTCCCCTCTTCTCCCTTCCTCCCCTCTCTCTCAATTTTCTCCTAAATGGGCAGCCGGCTGACGGGTGGGGAGAGGGTCGTCGGGTTGAGGCGGGAGAGGAGGTCCGGTGGTGGGCGATGAGGCGACGGAGGTGGGGCTGGGCGACGCGACGGACGCTGCGGCGGTGGGCGACGAGGTGGCGGAGGCAGGGCCGGGCGACGTGACGGTGGGCGTCGACGGGCGCCGTGGTGGGCGCAGAGGCAAAGGCGGGGCGGGGCGTGGCGGCGGTAGGTGCGGAGGCGGGCACCGCGGCGGTTGGCACGGAGGCGGGCGTCGCGGCGGTGGATGCGGAGGCGGGCGTCGCGGCGGTGGATGTTGAGGTTGGCGTCGCGGCGTCGCAGCGATGGGTGTGGAGGTGGAGCGGGCACTGTGGAGGCGGCATGGCTACGGGGACGATGGCTTCTCCGTTTTCTTCATCGAGACCAAGTGCATGTTGACGCCGACGTGGTCCTAGCACTCCTCGGTGGGTTCCTCTTCGCCGCTGCACCGACGGGCTTCGCTTCGACCCTTCGCTCCTCCACCACTCTCGACCGCCGCGTCCCCGACCTTGGTGGCTCACGGCGTGGCCGGTGGCCGGCAAGGGAGAAGAACGGCAGCGGCGCTCGGTGGTGAAGACAGGCTGAGGTCGGGGAGACAAGAGGTCACTGCCGCCGCCGTGCTCCCCCTGTCCTCTTCGATCTCCCCCCGTGCTCCCGCCGCCGCTGCTTTCCCCTTCTCCCGCGTCGTCGGCCGCCGGACATCCTCTCCATCCTTGCCCAGCGACCGTCTCCCCACCCGTCGGCTGGCTGCCCATTGAAGTGAAAAGTGAGAGAGGAAGGAGGACGAAGGGAGAGGAGGGGAGAGAGAGAGGGGGTGTGTGGCATCCTGACATGCGGGTCCCACGCTGACTTAGCCGCCACGTTAGATAAAACCGGAGCCAAAACCACCGAAGGACCTAAAGTGAACGGTTTTATAAGTTGAGGGACGTGATATATCTGGTTTTATGGTTTGGGGACGATTTCGTAGCTCGATGACAAGTTGAGGGACCTTCGGTGTACTTTTTCCTTGGTCTGTTCGTGAAGTTTCAAAACAGGCCTGTCTCCTTGTTATTGAGTGCACATCACGGCCCACTAGGCCTCTACGGCCCATACCGATGTGCATTGCCGAGATTGTCCTCAGGGCTATTGTTTGGCTAACCGGCGACCGACGACGACGCGGCGGCCGCCAGCGCGATGACCCGAGCAAGGAGGGCAAGCTCGCGAATACGTTGAAAACCGCCTGAAACTCGTGGTTGAGCCGGCTTGAAACCGGTAGGATTCGGTTGAAATCGATAAAACTAGGGCAAAAACACCGATTTCGAGCCGTTTTCGGTGATTCGATGGGGGAGGGGGGGGGGGGGGCGCAAACCACTAATGTTGGACTTATTTTATATGGGCTGAATTTGAGGGCTTGTTTGGTTTAGTGCCCTACCAAAGTATTGGTAGTGCCAAAACTTAAGCATATTTTGGTAGGGTAGCATTTTAGGTGAATGGATTTAGATTGATACCAATTGAAAGCCAAAATTTATATTATACTTAAGAAAGTTATAGAATTATGTCGAATTAATCATGGGCATTAACCATTCACTTGGCTTCAAACCAAGCCATTACATTCACTATTCAAACTACCAAACAGATTGGTAGGGCTCATTTTGGCATCAATTTAAAATGGCCCTGAATTCCTCTCTCTCTCGGCCTCGATCTGTCGCTGTTGCAGACTAATTAAACGACCAACAGATCAAGAATGCCAATCAGAATATAGTGGCAACGAAGATTTATTAACCATTTAATCGCAATAACGCGCACGGCGATTTCTCTGGGAATTAATGTTATTATTGTTGTTGCCGTGCTATTCTTTTATGCTCCTGTCGAGGTGAGTACGTACTACGTATTGATCCATCAGAGGTCCAAGGACACATATGCATGCAATGTACATGTACACACACACGCCTATCTATCTATCTATCTATCTATCTAGCTATCTATCTATCTAACTAACTTTTCCTACCACATAAATGTCAAAATAAAAATGTGGTTCGTGTCCACGAACAGCGCCATGAATTGCATGCACACATCCCACTATTTATTGGCGCCAAAAACTTTACTAGCACTGAATGAAATGCTGCTTGCAGGCACTAGCTACAGTAGTTATAGTGCAACAGGGTCCTAGTAGTAGTACACGGCCCGTTCCATGTTAGTACAAGTTAGTATTTTCGTTTATCCTAAGTTAAACTTTGGTAAGTTTAATTAACCACATTTGTAGAAAAATGTATGTATGAGCATCTCCAACAAAAAATAAATGTTCTATGCTGTATATAAAAGTATATTTAGTGATAGATTTAATAAAACTAATTTGGTGTTGTATAGCATGTCACTACATTTTTCTATAAATTTAATCAAATTTAAGAATGTTTAACTTAATTAGTACAAACTTATAATATGAGATAGGGGGAACAGCAGTAGTACGTGGCGAGGGATTAAATCTGAACAGAACAGTGTAAGGTCGCGGCTGTTCTAGCTAGTAATTCAGTGTACTCCATGCCCATTCATGGATATATGCGCTAAAGCTGTTCATCAGCATGAAAACATGCATGCATATTCTTTGCATATTAAATGTGTGTTTCGATGTTTATGCACCAAAGCAATATCTGCCCAATTTGGAATTAATGTAGTACAAGTTCCAGTTTCCCGCGGAACTAAAACTTGCCATGTGGTATGAAATAGAATTTCCCTCATCTATGTCAATTTTGAGAATTTGGAGTGCATGCATCAATTGACAGAAAAATTCAGGCAGGCAGCAGAAATATTAGAGACCACAGTAGCCAGACAGTCTGTTAACCAAATCTTCCATGAAAAATAAAATGTGTTCTAAACATAGCCTCATTATACCACACTAGCTAGATTAATTAGTAGTAGATTGCCAGTAGAACTCTACCGGCATATAACTAAAATAAAAATCAACGACAAAATGAAGTCTAATACAATACTATCTCTTTGGAGATATGTCCGTACTCGTGTCGTGAAGTAAGTCGTTTAGGATAATGTTTAAGTTAAATCTTGAGAATATAAATCATCACTAATTCTTAAATTGTTGAATTGTTGAGTTTGAAAATATAAAAATTATAAGAATAGATTTATCTTAAAAAATACTTTAACAAAAGTATAAATATATCACTTTGCAATAAATATTTCCATAAAAGTACGTTGTAGTGCTTCGGCTGACTATTCAAATTGTTGACCTTCCCTTAAATTTGGGAATTTGGAGTGTGTGCATCAGTTGACTGAGAATTTAATTAACCAAGGGTCCATCTAATACGTTAACACGCAAAGCTTTTGAGTTTGAAAGAACAAAATTCAACCATATGGGTAGCAGAAATTAAGATCCAACAAAAAAATAAACATACAGATCAACACAGAGCGAGAGAGATGACTTGATAATAGGGAGTAGTTACGTACAATTAAATCAATATAACCAGTAGCAGTAGACTAAATTATGAGAAACAATAATAATAAGTAAGGATGTAATCATACGCTCATCACTCACTAGCTAGCCCAGTCAGAGAAGAACACAAGAGGCGGCAGTAACAAATTCAGCGTGCAAAAGGAGATCGACGATCGAGGAGACAACAAGTTTCATGGATGGATATGAATATGATGCAGTCGAACACCTGGTGATGATCGAGAGATCTCGCCATGGACGAAGCGTGACATGCTGGTCGCCGCCGCCGCCGCCGCCGCGCCGCACGAATTGATCTCTTTCTTGCTAGCTGGCCGTGGTGCTGGACGCCGAGGAGGACGACTCCGGCGAGCAGTCCCGCCACTCCCATCCCCCGGCTGCCGCCGCCGCCGCCGCGGTGTCGCAGGCGCAGCATTGCTGCACCACCACCACCCGGCGGTGGAAGCTGCGGTGGCATCCGCACGCGGCGCACCGGAGCGCGCCGCCGGTGCCCTCCTCCCCCTCGGCGAGGAACTCGCGGCACCCGTCCACCGCGTGGCCGCCCATCCTCGCCGCGTGGTTCCGCCTGCACTCGCCGTACCTCACCCTCCCGCAGCAACCTCCCATCGCCGCCACCACCGCCGCCGCAGGCTGCGGCGGCGGCGGCTCGCACCGCCTCAAGATTACCATCCTCTTCATCATCTCCCGAACAACTAACAACCAAAGAAATTTTCGTGGCAAGATCAATCAGTTTAGCTCGAACTATCTATCTATCGATCGAGCTGGAGGAGAAGACGATGAGATCATGCACACACACAGTGTGCAGGGAGATCGAGATTTATAGCCGGGATAGACGATAATTATAGCTCATTCGACGTTGGCGCGACTACACCAACGTACCTAATAGCAATGGCAATGGCGAGGTTTGATGGCGTGTGTGCATGGATGGATGGATGCATAAAGCTCTCACATGGCAAGAGCCTTTCATACATTCACGCCCTGTGGATTGGGAGATCGACCGATGGAAGACCTAAGAGGGGCTAGCTAATGTTCTGGCTGGCCGAATTGATGGTCCAGCCAATTCCACCTCACTGTTGCAACACAGCCAAACATGCACCACTACTATACCCACTGTACACTTCGTTCCTCTCCTCTTGCACTATACACATGTTCCTTTCTTTAATTCTTGGGCCATATATGCAATTACCACACATTATATTGGGTTTTATGACACATACAGACACACCTATTACATACTACTACTCCACTAGTTATTATTATTGAATTTACTCTACATTTATGTATATATCATCTCTACTCCTCCTATAGGTAGCTATCTCATATCTGCAACTAGCTAGATTTTGGTATAGTACTCTAGCATGCATGCACCCATTTGGTATTTTCTTTGGGAGCGATACTCCGGTGCTCTCTACTGGTGGTATATTAAGGGTAAATCAGTAATTTACTAATACAATGATTAGGGTAACAGTGTTATATATGTTTTTTTTGGCTAGATCAATGTGTGGTCATGGTATTGTTCATATTCCATAAAAAAACAAAAAAGAAGAAATAATAGTTTAGTCACTACTAAATAATGATTATACTTCTCCGCATATATTTTTTTTGGATAATAATGGCCTCCACGTTTGTAATAACTAGGGTGGTAGTATAAAAATATCTGAACCCTTCAATCAAATGAGATTAATGGTTCAAATTAATTTCTACTACCAATAGATATCACCGTAGTGAGGCTCTTTCTTTGATTGATTTCTTGGTGTGAGAAAAATGAAATAATGGACCAACCAAAGCTAGGGTTCATGAGGTGAAACTTAGCTAGCTAACAAGAGAAGGTAGGTAGGTCAAAAGGCTAAGCTAAGCCTATGAGTACATGTGGGGGCAGGAGCTGGTGATTGGGAATGAAGGAGAGGAGAGAGTACGGGAGCGCCAGGCTAGCGAGATACTGAAGGTTGGCAGCTGGGTTGCATTGCATTTTGCATGCTTAGCTCTTGGCCCTTGCTCCATTATCTTGGCTAGGTTAGCTTGCTTGACCAGTTCCCGATCGATCTGCGACGACGATGGCCGGCACCGGCACGTAGTAGCTACCAAACCGGGCCCTCACTGTGCACGTGTTCTAGCCTAACTATAGGCCGTGTTCTATACTACTCCCAGGTTGGATGAAATATATTTTAGTAGTATGGGCAGAGCATATCCAGATTCGTAATGTTAGGATATATATCAACAAACCAAAACTCATTATATTTTGGGATAGTGCAAGTATTTTTTTCAACTTATCCTCTCTTGTTTTTCCGCGCTCATACTCATCAAATTATTAAATGGTGTGTTTTTTTTCTCAAAAAGCTTTGCTTTTTAAAATCTTATTAATTTATTTAGCTAATACTTAATTAATCATGTGTTATTCCCTTGTTCTGTTTTGCGTGTTTAGAAGGAAAGGTTTCCAACCTTCCCCAAAGAACATAGCCTTCTCACTGTCTACGTCTGTTTGTTGGCTTATGAGCCACAATCAAAACTTAAATTTTGGACCATAATTTCAGAGTTGATCAGTTTGGGGTTTTTTCATTGCATGTAGTATATTCTTGATCCAGATTTGATTTTAAACCGCTAATAATACAAATATAAAAGCTTTACTTATAAATTATTTTGTTTGCTTTTCAATCATTTATATTATCTTACTCGTAGCTCAATCAATCATAGCCTTAATTAGCTAGCGGTGCAATTGCATTGCCGGCTCCACTGTTGCATAGGTTTCACCCTACTGTTGCAGCATGTGCAGGGTTAGAGGTGAGGAGGGAGTACGCAGCGATGCACCTGGTTGCAAAAATTGGTGTGTATACAGTCGCAACGTACCGCATTGATGGAGCCAGAACGCCCAGATTCCTGGACAAACGTTGTTGTGTGTTTTCTCTTTTATTAGTTTTTGTTCGTGTTATTATTAATTAGTTTCCTGCTGCTTAATTTGCTTCAGTGTATATATAGTATGCTGTCATGGAAGAACAGGGTCGCGAGCATGACAGGATGGAGCCAGCTTGATGAATACTAGTAATCAACTGTGTAGGTCTGTAGCTAGCTAGCTGAGATATGAGCAGTTTGTGCTGTTTCTGTGCAATGCAATGTGGCTGCTTGTCTCGCTTCCATCCATGTGTGTACTGTTTTGTGGTCCGGTCTGCGCTTTGGATGTGCGGTGGTATATATGTATCTTCGGTGCAAGCTAGGGATATGTGTTAATTTACTGATGTTATATACTCTCTCCGTATTTTAATGTATGACGCTGTTAATTTTTTGACAAACGTTTGACCTATCGTATTATTAGTTTTTATGTAATTGTCATTTATTTTATTGTGACTTGATTTATCATCAAATGTTCTTTAAGCATGATATATATAAGTATTTTTATACTTATATAAAAAATTTGAATAAGACGAATGGTCAAATGTTGGTTAAAAAATCAATAGCGTCGTACATTAAAATCCGGAGAGAGTACTTGTTAGTTGGAACTAGTTTAGTTCTCTCAACTCTCAAGCAGAATGCTAAACTAAGGGGAAAAAAAGCACTGCATAGACCGCTCATCACCGATGGGTCAAGATTAAATTGTACGAGATATAATGGTTTGCCGAATATGTGATACCATTGTATGTAATGCATGGTTTTGATCCATTACGAATATATCCTCATTCGTAGTGGCTCGGTTGCACAGGTTGTTACTCACGTTAAAATTTGGCAAAAAAAAAAAAAAATCCAGCCCCAGCCCATTTCCGTAGTGGTGTTGTCGTCAAGGCTAGATCCAGCACCCGTCATTGTTGTTGAGGCCTGCACTGTCATCGTGGTTGGATATCGTCCTCTCCATTGTCGCCATGGCTGGATCCATTACCCGCCATTTTCACCATTGTCGAATCCATTGTCGCTGATAAAGCTCGAGCATCTGAGTTGTCATCATCGAGGCCATGGGAGCACGACAAAGGAATAAGAGCTGCTCACCGCCTCTTCCAAGGTCAGATCCACTATGGACTATCATCGTCGTTGAGGCCGAATCTAGAGGTGGAGACGGTGAAAACCGTCCCGAGCTCCAAGATGGGCAGTCAAGGAGGCCACTCGCTATGACATTGGTGCTTCGCGGGATGAGCCACCTCTGGATCTTGAGGCAGAGTGGATCCCTAGCGCAACAATAGTAGGAGTGGAGCATGAGGGCATGACAACGTCTACTCTGGATGGGGAAGTGAAGGCGACGATTGATGCTGGGGTCATAAAGGAAGCAACATTGGCCAGCGCTGGGGATGAGGAGGGAACGCGGTGGCTACGATTGTGTTGGCATCATGGAGTCCAGGTCCGACATAGTGAAGAGGAGTAGTCCATCGCACTCCTCGTTATCTTAGAGAGGAGACGTGTCGACGTTGGATGTCGCAACTACGGTATTTGGACAGTATGAGGATCGTTGGTGCTAGGATATACGTGAGACTAAGGTAAAAGAGATGGGGACGAAGATTTTTATACAGGTTCGGGCCCCTGAGTGGTCAGGTAATAGCCCTACATCCTGTTGGCCGGAGCCGATGTTGCTTTTTATTCACCATAATCTCACCAGTACAATATGTAGGGTAGCCTATCTAACTGTTGTCGACATGATGGTTTGAAGGTCTGACTTGTAGTCGACAACAGGGTAGTCTTCCTCCTCGAATCCGTGCCCGGCGAGATCAGAGATAGCGCTTTCATATCTCCTGACGGTATCCGGAGACACCGTAGGAGAATAGCCATGCCTATCCCTGAAGTCGATATTCGACGGCGTGTCTTGGCGTATGTAGGCTTCTATGTTGATTGTGTTGGGTGTTGATCATGTCGGGTGTTGATCGTGTCGATCTTCTGTCGATTGTCTTGTGTCATGGTGGGTGTGTCCTCTTGTCCTCCTAGGGGGGCTTGTATTTATACCCATAGGTGTCCCCTTGTCCAAGTAGAACTAGGGAAACCAATATGGATACAATCCGAGTAGTCCTTGTCGTTTCCATGTAGAACTCTGGTTGTCTTTCCTTATCCGGAACTCCCTCGAGGTCAGTTTCCATATAAGACATGGTATGTGGTGGATCCTGCCGAGATTTAGTCAACTACTATTAGGTATGTGGTATCCATAACCATGACAGTAGCCCCCGACTTCAATGCAAATGAACGAGTTCATATTCTCAGCCGCGCGCAGACATTGGAGTAACTGTTATCGAGCTCATGCGACCGTTCTCGGTGAGTTTAGAGAAAACGTTGGACTTCCTTTGTCGGCCTCGTGCGGGCACCGAAAGGGTTTGTCTAAGTCAATCTCTGATGTCGACCGAGAAAGTACAGAGCGTACAACTAAGTCTCACGTCTTGTTGTAATCGAGAATTTGGATTGAAGTCAAGAAATTTTATCTCGGCGGGTACACCATCTTTTCATTCCGTATTCCTTGTCGAGATCCACCAACCGTTCTCGAGTGATCGAGAAGGCGTAGAGTCTGCGACGGAGCCTTGTCGACATTGGTCGTACTCGCCTTAGTTGATCTTGGTGTAGAACCATAGAGACATAGAGCCCTCGTCAATGTCGAATAGAATTTTCCTGAAATCAATACTCAGAAAAGAATATTAGATAGAAATAGCCCCCAAGCGAATGCTCAAAGGGTGACATGTTATAATATGTATGGTAAACTGAAAATGAATCAAATTTACCCACCAATGTTTTGTGTAAGAGTGTCTTCTCAGTTCACGACTTTGGTCAGTCGTTTGAGTTGTACACTCTCCCTAGCCCCCAGCCTTGTCGTCGGAGAATCGTTCTCGGAGGAGAAGGCTCTTGGACCCTTGACCTGTCTTGGTTGAATAAGCACTGATCCTAGCCCCCAGCCGTGAAGTTGGAAAGCTCAGTTTCTGATTACACGGCTTGGTTAATACGCACGGCGAGAACTCTTACACGACCAGATCTTACCTGGTCTTTCGTCTCTGAAGGATCCGACAAGGCCTTATCGGCTCTGGGCGTCCCCAGACGAAGATCCCTTAGGTTCCTTGGAGGCCTTGTCAGGACGGCGTAAAGGGACAACAGGATAGGTTTCAACGCTAGGTGTCGTCGTGGTAAGGGATCTCTGGGTAAAACACTTGGCGATATT